TAATCTCAAGATCCATCTATGTTGTCATACCTGGCAGTATTTCATCTTTTCTAATGGCTCAATAATATCCCATTGTATATATGTACCACAGCTTCTTTATCCAATTATCCAATTATCTATCGAAGACACTGGTTGTTTCCATGTTTTGGCCACTGTGAATAATGCTGCAGTGAACATAAAAGTACATATATCTTTATAGATAAAAGTCTTTCTTTATGCCATTTAAAAGTCACACTCTTGTTTATTTTTCACAGAAATTTTAACTTTAGAAATTCAACACCATGGCTCCCTATTCATTTATGCTTTATCTCTACAGCCTATCACGTGTTCAAATGACCAAGAAGCTCACAGCCCTGCACGCTGGCATCTACCTTCCAATGACATAATCGATGATGTCCCTTCCAACTTAACTGGGGTCTGTGTGAGCCCAGGTGTTCTCGCACACTCAGGATACCCACACACAGAATTATCTCATACACAGGTAATGTTAGTATACAGCTTTTACCCAGGCTGGCATGTGCTCTGTATAGGGATATATTTGTTCAATTTTTTCCCTAGGAAATGTATTTAAACATTTAATTCACCTCCGTATGCTTATAAGTCACTGTGAAGCAATACACAAGGAGAAGTATATTTAATAGTCTCTGTTTTCAAAGAGCTCATGTTCTAGTTGGGGGCTCAAATATTCTCACAGATGGAGAACATATATGAAAATAAAAGGAATAAATGTAAAGTACAAGTGCAAAGTTGGAGAGAGACAAAGGAGCAAATATGTTGGCAATGTAGAGTTTAATTATACTCCAATGGGAGACTGGGTCATATTTAAATTTCAAGGGTCCCACCTTATTGGTGATCACTTTATTTTCTTACACTTCTCCAGCCTCTGAATCTGTATATGGCACTTTCTTTAGCTCTCTCAGTTCTGACCTCTGATGCCTATGACGTTGATGTAGAAACCTGGTTCTGTTCTCCAGATTTTCTCCACTAGCTTTGGACCCAGCTCTCCTTGGTTGTAGACCCTATCCATTGGCTAAATTAACTTTCCCTCAGGACTATTTCTCTACATCTTCAGCCTTAGAATAGAAACTTGACCTTGACTATAAATTACTTACTATGCTTGGAAGTTTGGTTGGGTTCCCCGACTCTGGAATTCCTACCCTCTGTTGCTTAATCTTGCTGTAGAAGTTTAGTAGAAAGAGTCTGTATCTTGTTTCTTGATTCTCAGTTAAGGAATATAAACTGTTTATACTGTTGCTGGGGCAATGCGAAAGAATGAATGAGCTCCATAGGGCGGAGTTAAAAAATGTTTCTTCTTGTTTGCAGAGGCAGAGTAGTTTATATGAGTCATAGAACTGAAAGAAGTCTTAGATAACATCTAATCTGATAGTTCTTATCCCAAGCTGCATTTTAGAGTCACCTAGAGATTGTTTATGAAGTACCAATGTCTGAGCCCCACCCCAGACCAATAAAATCAGAAACTCTGGGGGTGGGCTCCATGAGTCAATATTTTTAAAATGCTTCAGGTGAATCCAATGTGCAACCAGTGATGAGAGTGACTGATCTATCCCATTCCATCATTTAACAGTTAGGAAACATATGGCCTAGGAAATCTAAGAAATTTGCCAGAACTCAAATAGTTTGCCTGAGGTGACCAAAACAGGAAAACTTAGGTGTCCTATTGTCTGGTCACATGCGCTTTATTTCATTAAGCTGCTCTTTTAAAATTTCTTTTAAAGGCAGTGTTGTGGACTCCTCCCAGATGTGCATAAGCCTTTTTGCCACTTTCTTTTCTTGAGACTCCTTTATTGTGTCTCTGGTCAAGGTAGAGAAGGTATATTCTATAGGGCTAACTTGACCTTAGTGGCCCTCGTTTTCCTGGCCTTGATGATCCATGCCTTCATCCTGTTCCCGCTACCTTGGTGCTGCCACCCTTTGCATGAAACCCTGGCCTTCCAACAAATACCACGGCCCATATTTTGTAATATTTAAGATCTACTGTAGTCTGTCTATAAGGTATGAGTGTTGTATCCCATTCCTTGAGGGTCTTGCTCTCATGCAGGTGATGATAAAATAATCAATCATGTTGGAAAATTGAAAATTTACATACCTGACACTGTGTTATGCATGTTACAAACATTATCCTATTTTATCTTCTCGTCATTCTTATTAGGTAGGTATCCTTATCCTTATGAGGGGACTGAGGCTTAGAGAGATAAATTTGCCAAATGCTACATGGCTAATAAAGTGGCAGAGCTAAAATTCAACCCCAGGTCTGATGGACTCCAAAACTCTTGGTCTTAATTCCTATGCTGTATTGAATCCAAAATAAAAATATTATTGAGAACAGTGACTTTATGCATATTGTTTCTAGTATTCTCAATAACAATATGTGATAGATATTTTTAACCCTGTACTTCAAGATAAAGAGGTTTGAGGCTCAGAGAAGGTAAGAAATTGTTTGATTTCATAGCTCTGAAATTTCAACATATTTTTCCAATTAAAAACACTCCACTGTTCCATTTTGCTTTGTTGTCTAAGAATATTAGCAATAAATGCTTGCAAAAAAAAAAAAAAACCCTTTAGAAATAACAAAGCAATTCAGTTTTGTTTATTCTTAAGGTAATCCTATAAGTCAGAAGCCATTTTATCACCAGCTCATAAACAATAAAATAGGGACTCAGAGAACTTAAGCAATTTATTTAGGCAGATGTAGATGCTAACACAGAGTTTCTAATCCCACATTACATATATATACATACATTACATATATATACATACATATATATACATACATTACATATATATACATTACATATATATACATACATGTATATATATGTAATGTGGGATTAGAAACTCTGTTAGCATAGTTAAATATATATATTTAAATCATGGTAGTAAATAAACTGATCTATGATAAGGATTAGTGAGAAAATAAGCAGGGCTTTGTCTTATTTTGTTAAAATGCACATCAGTGGAAAGCTTCTAGGGAGCTCCATTCATTGTGCAATTTCAGGTAATAAATTTGGGAAGGAGCAGATGCACTCAGGTGGATTCTCTGGGTCCCTCTGGTCATACAAAGTCCTAGGCAGGTACCTACATGATGAATGATGGAATATAAAGGGTTATTATCGGAAGTCGATTCATCACCAGTCTTGATATACTACCTTAAAAATTGGGAATTCACTAAGAACAATTGTGGAAAAACCTCATAGTGTCTCATTCCTCTCCTGATAACATAATCACTGACCAATACTCAGGTACTGGTGTGAAACCAGGTGCCTGAAGAGACTATGCCATGTTGAGGATGAGTCATGCTGTCTTCTGGGTGAGAATTACTGGCGGCAAAGGCATTCCCAACCAACAGAACCATTTGTTCCAAGATCCTACTGTAGAAGTAAGCATGACACATTAAAGAAACAGAGTGGAGGTCAGTGCGGCCCAAGTCTGTTGCACTAGTACAAGACAGGGCTAAAAGAAGCATGGACTGGAGTGGTATCAACAGAGATAGAAATCAACAATATTAGGATACATTTAGCAGATAAAGTTAACAGGGCTTGTTAATGGGTTGGGAGATTTCAAAGATGATTCCTTTGTTCCAGGTTTTGGAACTGAATGGAATAGATGGCGATGTTATTAAATAAAATGTGTGAGCTGGCCAGGGTTCAGTGGGAAGATCATGACTTTGGGTTTGAATACAGTGAGTTTGAGGGATCTTTGGGATCCAAGATGTGGTATCGTGTAAGGATTTGAAGGTTAGAGGGAAGAACTGGACTGGAAATAAACTTGAAAGTCACTCTGATATGGATGATAATAAAAATTATAGTTATGAAGGAAAAAGATTAGAGAAAAAGCATGGTGATGAAATTTTGCTCACCACCTATTTTGTAAATAATTTTATTGGAATACAGTCATGTACACTTGTTTACTTACCATCTATGGCTGCTTTCAACATGATAGCAGCAAATTGGAGTAGCTGTGACAAAAGCTATATAGCTCACAAAGTTGAAAATACTTACTATTTGGTCCCTTATGGAAAAAGTTTGCTGATCCTAGACCTACAGTGAAAAGAGACAAGAGCCTGAGGATGTCAACGATACATCCTAAAAGTGGATAGTGAGCCTTTAAAAGAAATTGAGAGGATTCTGAAAGTTTAGGAGGAAATTGCTGAGAATGGAATATCACAGAAGCAAAGAGAAGAGATTTTTCCAAAGAGGAGGAAGAATGGTCTCCAGTGGCAAATGCTACCGAGGGATTAAATAAGACATGGGCTAAAGTATATCACATATTTTTAACGAATGTCATTGATGACTTTATCAAGAGATGTTTCACGGCATGATGGAAGCAGAAGCCAGACTGAGTTAGACTGAAGAGTGTGTAAAAAGAGCTGTTACATTTAGAAAATTATCAGAAAATTTCATTTTCCAGAGAAAGATAAGTATAGGAGGGGGATGCACCATCAAAGGAGAATTTGTTGTTGTTGTTGTTTAAGATGAGGAGAGATTTGAGTGTGTTTAAATGTTAAAAAGAAGAAGCCGTTTAAGAAGAAAGTAGTTAAGTATTCAGTCTAAGAGAAGAGTAATCAAAAGAAAAATGTTGCCCAGAAAGACAGAGGTTTGCAGGTTTGGTACCTAGTGGGGGTTTGAAAGAGTTTCCATTAGATGGTTTCAAGCTTCCTAATGAAATTGTTTAATTGGGAAGGAGGTGAAGGCATCTGATAGGAATGAGGAGGGACAATCTGTGTGTGAGGGTTTGTTTGGTTGGGTGAAGGTTACAGGAGG